AGCGGGTAGGGCTTTTGCCTTGCACGCAGTCAAACTGGATTCGATTCCCAGCATCCCATAGGGTCCCCCAAGCACTGTCAGGAGTATTCCTGAGTGCATGAGCCGGGAGTAATCCCTATGGATTGCCGGATATGACCCAAAAAACAAACAAAAAAATATATAAGAAAACCTCAGGATAGACAAGGTAAGTAGAGGCATTCCTGCAGAAAGCACTTCTTTCCAAGTGGAGGGAATTGCACCCTGATCTGGCTTGATGGAAGAGACTTGAGGACATTGGGATTTTTCTTCAGAAGCAGGTATAGGTATAGGTACAGTGGAGAGCTGCTGGTTTTGTTCTATGCACTCACTCTGCTACCCTTACACTCACAGTTCCTTCTGAGGAAGCACTTGGCTCCCACTTTCACTGTGTTTGGGGCAGGGTATGTTATCTGGTTGAAGTTGGGTGTTATATCCTATTTGCTGGCCCTGCTGACTGACTCAGGGATGGCTGCCTGGCCAGTCAGGGATACCTTGACCAGAAACTTTGGAGGTTTGATGCTTCAGAGGATGTGGTGATTGCATCTAGTTAAAAGGCAGGATGGTATGACCTGCGATGAGCCCTGCTCATTAGACACACTCTAGTGCAGCAGTGTCTCAGATCAGAGCAACTGTTGACGGCTGGATGGTAGAGCAGGTAAGGCGCCTTGCCTTGTAAGCAGCCGACCTGTGTTTGATTGTTGGTATCCCATATTGGAACTCTGAGCATCCAGAAGTGATCCCTGAGCACCACTAGGTGTATCCTACCAGAATCAAATTGAAAAAAACAAAGTCCCAAAAGAAACACCATTGGAATTTTTAGATTCTATGTGGTACTTTTGCAAATGAGAATAAACTGATTATATTTTAAAAAGCATTGTTACAAAGCAAGGGGAGAGAAAACATCTAAGGAAAATAACATTAGATGTTTTTGAAACAATGTTTGCCTCACTTTAAAATTTCATTAACACAAAAAACATTTCATTGAAAACAAAAAAATTAAACAAAAAATCATTGTTATATTAAGCTTTCACTGTACAAACATGAGAATTCCTTATTTTTATGTCTCCTAAACCAGGCAAAATGGTTGGATTGGACTGGAAATATTTCAAAGCAGAAAATACCAACTACCCAAACATAGACACAGAAAGAAAATAGTGTACTCATGAAACATGCTTGGAGGAATATTAACCTTCTGGAAAAGTTTTATTATAAAGTTAGAAAATGTACCCTACAAAATAAAATGATCCAGGGGCTGGAGAGATAGCACAGCGGGTAGTGCGTTTGCCTTACACGTGGCCAAACTGGGTTCAATTTCCAGCGTCCCACGTGGTCCCCTGATCACCGCCAGGGGTGGTTCCTGGGTGCATGGGCCAGAAGTAACCCCTGTGCATCGCCAGGTGTGACCCAAAAAGCTAAAAAAAAAAAAATCCAGATTTCTGGAATTATCGTCAGGGCTCAGATGGCAAAGCATGCCTTGCTTGGTATACATATAGCTCAGGTGGTAGAGCATGCTTGGCTTGGGCGAGGTCCTCGGTTTAACGCCCAGCACTGCATGGCCCCTTATGCACTGTTGGGTGTGGCCGGGATAGCAGGAACAGTACCTCTCAAACTTTTCCAGATGGTTGCTCCTTCCAATCTTGTCTTCCTTCCTATGATCCCTTGTTCTACAAGTTGGAAGGTCATCTTGGCCTTCCATTTATGACTCTTTTAGAATATACTGAGAAATACTGGCTCAAAGTATCACTGGGTGCAGCTCATATATATATATATGTATATATATATATAAGGTAAAGGCCCTCCCGTTGATCGTCGATTTGCTCGAGCGGGCCCAGTAACGTCTCCATTGGAGACTTTGTTGTTACTGTGTTTGGCATATCGAATACGTCACAGGGAGCTTGCCAGGCTCTGCCGTGCGGGCGAGATACTCTCGGTAACTTGCCGGGCTCTCCGAGAGGGGCGGAGGAATCGAACTCGGGTCGGCCACGTTGGCCGCTTGTAAGGCGAACACCCTACCACTGTGCTATCGCTCCAGCCCATATATATATATATATATATATACATATATATATACATATATATATATGACCCAAATACATTTTGGATCTCATCCTAAAAAATAGTTTTAATTTTAGAGATTATTTTAGGTCATTCTTTGTGAAAATAATTAGGAAGTAAGTTAGTCTATTGAGACCATTCATAACTTGTGACAAAACAACATCATCAACATCTATGTTTTACTTAGACATCTCTGTAAATGAAGCAACTTATGAGGGGATTTTTTGGGCTTTGAGAAGTTTCGGGGAGAGATGGACTATTTCTCATCCAGGAGGACTATACTCTACTGGTTTTAAATGACCCACATGGCTGAAAAATGTTGGCCTATAAATGAGAAAATCCAAGTTCTGGTTTCATTTAATTGGCCTATTGATTTTCACTAAGTCCTCATAACTTCCATGACATCTTTTTTTCTTCTATACAAGAGAGGATTTAGGCTAGAAGTCGGTGAAAGTCTGTGTCAGCTTTAGTTACTGTGACCCAGTAATTTGGGCACGGCCTATCTACTTTATTTTCCCCAAAAGTCTTCCCATGAATTATGAATTATTTATGAAGTAAAGAATATAGAGTGGCATTTAGTTATTTATTCATGCATAATCCCATTTTCTATATGTTGATCTTTAGGAAAAATATATAAAAAATATAAATGACAGCTCTGTGTCATGAAGAAATAAAACTAAGTATAGGGGCATAGTGTCCACATTAATCAACTGGCACTGTGTTCTGGGCTAGGAGTGTATGATATGGTCCTTAATCTCAGGGTAATAGTGGAGGCAGATTATAGTTCAACTATGTATAATCACAAAAGAATTTTTGCTCACATTCTTAACCTACAGAGGGGGAAGGCTTTAAATTGGATAGTGAAGTTAAAGAAAGGTCTAATGATATTTATAAGATGCCTCTTCCAGGCAGAGGGATTTTTACATGTTAAATCCTAATTTTATTCATTATGGAAATAAGCAAAAGGAGATATTTGGGAAGCGAATATATGTAATTTTTTTTTGTGGTGGTGGTGGTGGGGTCATATCCAGTGATGCTCAGAGGTTGTTCCTGGCTCTGCACTCAAGAATAATTTCTGCTAGACCTTCAGGGACACGTATAGGATGCTGGGAATTGAACCAGGACCAGTTATGTGCAATACAAGCACTCTACCCACTGTGCTATCTTTCTGGCCCATGGATGTATCTGCTTCTCTTTTTTATTTCTTTTGGTGGATTTTTATTTAACAGAGCCAGATGTATTTTAACTCACTGAATACTGTCTTCTGTTTTTTTGGACCTTAACCAGTAGTGCTCCAAACTTACTCCTGGCCCTGTGCTCAGGGATCACTTCTGGTAGAAATTAGAGAAATAAAAGGGATGCTAGGGGTTGAACCAAGGTCAATCATATGCAAGGCAAGTGCCCTAACCATGTACTATCTCTCCAGCCCCTTAATACAATCTTTTAAAATCTCATATTACGATGAAGATCAGGCCCATGGTCTCATACATGCAAGACAAGGTTTTCCACCACTGAGCAATTAAGGTCAGGTACTAGGTAGAATCTAGGAAATAGCAATATTAGGATTCCAATCATGCCTACTTGTCTTCTTGGTGCTATATTTTTCCATGGAAAAACCTATTTCCCTAAAAGAATGCAGAATTTTCTTCACAGCTCTAAAGACTAAGTTTCAGAAGCCTCTCACTTCTTCCAATTAATGGACATATTTCTTCTATTTGAATTGAATTTTCTCTACTTAATGTCATTAGTTTTCCTTTGGATGAGTGGACCCTTCTCGGCTTGCCAAGCTAAGCAAACATTTGTGGAGATTCTTAGCATGCAGGTTCCCAGATCATGTTCTAGAACTCCCATCTCAGGCCAGGACTGGGTCCTCCTAGATTCTCTTATTATTTTCTTGGTTTTTGGGCCACAACAGTGTTGCTCAGGGGCTCAGCCTAGCTGGTAGAGTGTGAGGTGGCAGGTGGAAGGGAGAGTGTAGTCTGCAGGTGAGTTGCCCAGTGCAGAGCTTAGGGGACCAGGATATCTGGAGATTGCATTCACACCTTGTAACCCGTTAGCTCCAGTCCCTAGAATCTGCAGTAAATTGCCGGAGCAGTAAACCTGAAGGATATACTGGATAAAAGCTCTTGGCGGATTCACGCATTTCTAGTTTATTTTAAACTACTTACTCCCCAATAGATCCCCACCATATCTACTCCCCTTTTTTTGGAGGCTCTGAAACCCTTCCATCTTATTCCCTATTGTTTTATTTACTACTACTAGTAAACAGTATCATTTACTGTTTTTCTTTTCTTTTTGGCTTTGAATCACACCCACCAGTGATTAGGGTCTATTCCTGCCTCTTTGTTCAGAGGACCATATGTAATGCCAGGGAATTTGGACCCGGGTCAGGGGATGCAAAGCAACTACTTTAACCACTGTCCTATCTCAAGTTCCTATTTATTCATTTACTACTCTCCTTCTCCCCTGCCTTAGAAGCTTCATGAAGCAAGGTGCCCGAAAATGCAGCTCTCAGGGTGCAGCCAATGAAGCAGCCAAGCCCGGATGCAGTTAACTATCCTTGCTCTTCAATTTTAAGTTGAGGAGACTGGAGGAGAAATGGTCAAACATGTGACATGTTGGAGCATTCAGCAGTATACTCGTGGAAGGCAACCCTTCCGCTACCAGCGTCGAGCCAGCAGCGTTTACCCGAATCTAGTGCCTCGAAGGTGCAGCTGCAGTATCCCAACTCTCGCCAAGACCCTAAGGAGGCACGACTGCAAGCAGCTCCGCCCCGCTGAATGAGACGCATGTCTCCAATTCCAATAGGGCGCGGAGAGGCCACGTGGTCCCGGGGCGGGCCCAGGACGCTCGCGGGAGCCCGGTCCTGGATCACGTGACCCTGGGCCCCGCCCAGGGGGCGTGGTCCTGTGCCTCGGGTCGGAGCCGCGGAAGCCGAGGCGGCTCGCGGGCCCCGCCCCCTGCTCCATTGGGACTCGCGCGCGAAGGAGGGGCGGAGCTTCCTGTGACCTTTCACCCCAGCATGGCTGCGCCCGTGGGACCGGTGAGGTTCTGGCGACCCGGTAAGGCCCTTGGAGGAACGCTGGGCAGAGGCGGCAGCCTGCCTTGGGTCTTCGCCCCGCGGCTGGCTCGGGGACCTGCAGACCTGCTCCCAGGCGGGCTGTCCACGCCGTCTACGTGCCGGTGGACTCCCGGGCCCCTCACAGTGCTCCCAGGGATTCGGGGTCCGCCCCAGTTTGCACGGAAACTCCCTGTGTGACCTTGTTGAAGTCTCCCAGCCTCTGGGACCTCATTTTCTTCCCTGCTCGTTCCTGCCCTTCCCAGCCCGTGTGATGGTGATGGGGAAACGCTCAAGCGCCCACGCGAGTCCTCTTGGTTCCGCATGTCCCGGGGTTACATTGGGGGCCCGACAGCTGCTGCTCGGGGCTCAGGAGCCTAAGCTGAGGAGTCGGGCCGGCAGGGTTTGACATTTCACCTTTGCTGCCACTGGGCCAGCCTCAGAACCCCTGTGTCCTGAGAGCTTGAATACCAAGCACGGTCCTTGGACCTACAGTCACAAAAAGGGAAAGTGCTTGGATTTCACTTAGCTTCATCCTTGTCCACCTCGAGGGTCTTCCAGAAAGCGAACACCCGCCTTCCGATCTGCCACCCTGCCATCCTCTTCTCTGGCAAGCTAATGTGAAGCTTGGTCATGAAATTTATGCTTTTTGCCTATAGTTTCCTCAGGAGGCAGAGTTTTAGCTTAATATGCATGACAGACGTGACTGCAGTAATGTAAACAGACGTTTCTTTCTCCCTTTCTATCAGTTTCTTGTGAACTACAAAAGTTTTTTTTTTTTTGTAACAGTTAACCAGCTTCCCTCTTGTCCCTCTCTCCCCACCAAGTTTACCTGTGCAGCAAAAAATGGAAAGAGACAGAAGGAAATAGTATAGCTTTTGTTTTTGTGATTTTATTGATTGGGGTTCTCTGATTTACAGTACCATCATTAGATGGTTTCTTATGCTGGTAATTCCAACACCACCCCGTTGCTAGTGTATCCACTCCCCTCCCCTTCTCCCCCTCCCAAACCCATCCCAAGGACTTAAGTGCTCCTTTCTTTCAACCCAGCCCCAGCCTCGACCTCATTTGTGTGGATCATTTTCCTTTGGCCCTTTATTGTTACCATGCTGTGTTTTTAACCCAAACACAAGAGAGTAGAAGGAGGGAACTTTTAAAGGGAGTTTGAGAGAAGTTCCTTGAAATTCTTAACAGAGCATACACGGGATGTGGAAAGTAAACCCAAGCAAAGGATGTGTTTATTTTTTATTATTAAAAATTTTTACTCTTTAGGGACAGTGGAGACAGTACAACAGACAGGTTGATGGCCTTGCATGTGACCAACCTGGGTTCTGTCCCCTGCACCTGCATTTCATATGGTCCTCTGAGCACTGCCAGGAGTGATCCCCGAATATTGAGCCAGGAGTACGCCTTGAGCAGTGCCAGATGTAGTCCAGAAACCAAAAATCAATCAATCAAAGAAACTTTAAATCTTTAGCGTACTACTTAACGACGGTTTCATGATTCAGCTTTTCATCTGCTAGTGATCCATTTTGAGTTCAAATGACCCTCAGGTGGTTCCAGCATGTTTGGGAAACAGTGGTCTAGGTAAACTAAATGGGAGTGCATTTAGCAGGCACTTTTTGGGATCTTTGTGTCAGCGTTGAAATGATTTTATTAAGCAGTCACAGTATCTCTTTGATGGAGGCTGTCAGAGAACAGGAAATTAGAGTTTAAGGTATGGGACTGGGATGTAGAAAATAATGGGATGAAGGTCAGGGAGATTAGCCAGAAGGTTGAAAGTTGGGTATAAGGCTGTATGTTGGGAACATGAGTGTATCTTGTAGCCCAGGTAGCTACAGAGACCTTTGAGACAATCTTTATGAAGGGGGTGGGACACACCTGGCAGCGCTTATGGCTTACCCTGGCTCTGCACTCAGGAATCACTCCTGGTGGGCTCAGTGGACCATATGGGATGTCAGGTATCAAGCCCACATCATGAGCAAGGCAAGCATCCTACCTGCTATACTATTTTTCCAGTCCCCAGACAATGTTTTTGTTCCTGTTTTTGAGCCACGCCTGACTTTCTCAGTGCTGACTCCTAGTTCTGTGCTCAGGGATCACTTCTGGTGCTGTGGTTCCAGGGTTCGAACCCAGGTCTGGTGCATGGAAGGCAAGTGCCTTACCTACTATCTCTCTGTTCTTAATAAGTGAAGCTGCTAGATGGAAGTAATAGAGAGTGGTGGGGACTGGGGCAGAATACAGTGTTCATTCACCAATCTGATAGACTATACAGAAACTCAAATTAATTTGCATATGCTGTCTTAAAAGGAAGCTGTCCTCTGCCACCTCATTGTTGTCATTAGGCCAAGGATTAAAACAGATCTTTTTTTTTTTGTTTTTGTTTTTGGGCCATACCTGGTGTGCTTAGGACTTACTCCTTGCTCTGTGCTCATTGATTACTCCTGGAGAGTTGGGGGACTATATAGATTGCTGGGGATCCAACCTGGGTTGACTGCGTGCAAGGCAGGTGCCCTACCCACCATACTATTGCTCCAGTCTCAAGATCTGTATTTGTGATTGCTCCCAGTGGTACTTGGGGAACCAAATTTAGGCCTGTTGACCTATGTTTTTGTTTATTTGTTTGCTTTGTTAATTTTTATATTTTTTTTCTTTTTGGGCCACACCCAGCAGTGCTCAGGACTTAATCCTACCTCCGCTCAGGGATTGTTCCGGTGTACACTCAGGATACTTTCTATTTTATTTCTCCCAGTTCACTATTAAACAAGGCTTATGATCACCCCACTCCATTTATTTCATAACTGGCCGGTATGTCTGCACTCACATTTTGAAACTATTTTAGAGGGAATGCTAGTTTGAAGGATGCGATTATCAGCCTTGTTTTATAGATGGACAAATGAAGGCAATTATGACTTGCAAAAATTACGAACTTGTTAATTCCTTACGCATAGAAAATGTTCCCAAGGGAAGAACAACCATCAGCAGTTCCATGGCTTATAGGATGCATAGAGGGAAGGCAGAGCTGGTTTTGTTGAATGAGGCCCTTTGTAAGGAAGACATGCACCATCTGGAGTGATGGTAGCTGCTCTTGTAAAAGGATCTTGTAATAGATTATACTGGACTTGGCATAGGTTAGAGTCCGGGAGGGGTCGGGTAGCAAAGACACCTGGGCCGTTTCAATCCCTGTGTGGGAGGAAGTAAAAAAGCAGGCAGGAAAAACGTTGAAATATTCTCGGCCTGTTTGTTGAGGTTTAAAACATTAGGTTGTTTTTGCAGTCGTTTTTTTGGGTAAACATGACAAGACATATTACTCAAAGGAAGTGATGCGGAAAAGAAAATCTACTTCTTGGAGTGCAGGCTTTGTTCTGGGTTCCTTTCTTTTGCCCTGTTGAAGGTCAACATTTTGGCATAAACCACACAGCAGTATCCGACTTACCTGGTTTTTGGCAACCTTGGACCTTTGGGGAGCAAATGTGTTCCTAGAAGTAATGGCGAAGGGATCCAGTTTTATAGCATTGATTCTGCCAAGCTCTACAGGGTTTGTGGGCCTTCAAGCATTTTATGTTCTGGTCAGTTACAGTTTGGTGTATTTTTCTTTCTTTCTTTTTTTTCTTTCTTTCACTGTCCACTGTCCTCTTGTTGTTCATCGATTTGTTCGAGTGGGCCCAGTAACGTCTCCATTTTGAGACTTGTTGTTACTGTGTTTGGCATATGGGCGAGATACTCTCGGTAGCTTGGCGGGCTCTCCGAGAGGGGCGGAGGAATCAAACCCAGTTCAGCCAGGTTGGCTGCGTGCAAGACAAACACCCTAACGCTGTGCTATTGCTCCAACCCTTCATTTTTTTTTTTAAATTTTTTAAATTTTATTGAATCACCGTGACATACAGTTACAAGCTTTCCTGTTTGAGTTACAATCATACAATGATTAAACACCCATCCCTCCATCAGTGTACATTCTCCACTACCAATCTCCCCAGTATAAACCCCCTTTCCCACTCTCCCCCTGCCTCCATGGCAGACAATATTCCCTATCCTCTCTTTCAACTTTTGGGCATTATGGTTTGCAGTACAGATACTGAGAGGTTATCATGTTTGGTCCTTTATCTACTTTCAGCACACAGCTCTCTGGTGTATTTTTCAGGAAAGGGTGTTCTTGGCCTTTATCAGATAATCGAAGGGGCCAGAAGGCCCCAAAAGAAGGAAAAAGAAATCACAGGGCACAAGAAATGCGGTTACAAATCCACATACTTTCCCTTAGTATCACAGATTCTGAGTGCAGAAGGCCTGGGAGATGATCAATTTGGGTATATCCCCGAGGCACCCCAAACAGACGGCTGCGCAGCATGTGTTTGAACTTTTAGGGTTTTTATTGATTCACAAAGGCAGCACAAGTGTAGAAGAGCGCTAGCTTTTAGCAGTAAACTTCCTTATGTTGAGCTGAAGTCTGAACCCCGTGTCATTGACTCATCACTCTGAGTTCTGCCCTTAGGCTACACACGCCCATTTGTGGGAAAAGTTATGGAAATTGATCGTAAAAATTAAACACAAAGATCTTTCCCAGGTGCCAGCACAAACTCAGAGAAGGATGCCCCCCCCTCCCCCGGCCCCAAGCTTCAGCGGGAACAAAGGCCAGATAAGGAATATCAAAGAAGACATCAACTGCTCTCTTCCTCCTTGGCAGCCACCCTAGCAATGGACTCTTACCCAGGTGGAAAGGCCCAGTTGGGGCAGGTTGGGAGAAACCTTATAAAAGCCAACTTGAACAAAGGAAGCTGCACGTGCCGCCTGAGCCCATGTGTTACCTGTGCCCATGTACTGCTACTGAGCACATGCGGTGTCCGAGAACACGTCACCCTCATATCCCCTCTTGAGTCGTGTACTTTTGTACTTTCATATCTACTGCTGGGATATGTACTGGGATTCTCTCTCCCCTCTGGAGAAACCCACATTCTCTCTCTCTCTCTCTTCTCTCCTCTCTCTCCCCACCCCACTTCATCAAAATTTTCAAATAAAACCTGTTTTATACTCCCCCCAAAATATTGGACCCATATTCTGTTTTTTTTTGCTTTTTGGGTTATACCTGGCGATGCTCAGGGGTTATCTCTGTCTGTGCACTGAGGAATTAATCCTGGTATTACTCAGGGACCATATGGGATGCCAGGGATTGAACCCGGGTTGGCTGGTTGCAAGGCAAACACCCTACCTGCTGTTCTAATTGCTCTGGTCCCTGAACCCATATTCTTCTACCCTTTTTCCTTTTCCAGCCAAATTTCCAGGGTTCCTTGAACAGCTTATTTTGAGGGGATGTGGCGTCTGCTTTCCATCATCCTGAGACCAGTTTGCCCTTATTAAGAAACTGAAGTGACTTTCTGTTGCTCACTCTGCCCAGCACATTGATTATTTTGAATTTGCAGCATTCGACCGCTGTAGTTCCTTGATTCAAAGTGGAGCTGTCTGTCCTTGTCTCTCATTCTGCTGGCCATCATCGGTTGAAATGGGATGGGGGTTGAGAACAGGTCAGCCCTTGACCATCCAGCATAAAAGAGCCTGCCACTCTCCGGGCAGACAGCACATGCCCAGAACTATGCCCACCCCTCACCCCACCCCGCTAATCTTCTCCCCAGCACTACTTGTCACCTCTCGTCCTTGGTTCCATGCTCCTGGGAAGAAGGATCAAAGCAAGTAAGCTGTACAAGTCTGCTGCCTGCGCCCATGGCATCACTGCTATACCTTTGATCCTTCCTGCCTTGCCCTGTGATCGAGTGGTGGTTGGGGAGCCGTGAGCCTGAGCTTTGGCCTCTCAGTAGCCTTGGTTGCCAGGTTCCAATTCCTGTCGAAGCTCCACACAGCCTGAGATGAGCTTGTTGAAATGAGAGCAGCCTAGGTAGCCCTTGCGCCCCTGATTCCTGCCTCCCCCTCCCCGCCAATCTTATTGCCATCCTGGAGTCTCAGGATTAATTCCTTGCCTCAGCTAGTACCCAGCGAGCTTCAGCCACTTGTGCTCAGAGTTTGACTATAGTCCGGGATGGCCCCACAGGAAGAAAGGCCCCCAGCAGCTCTCTTGCTGCTGTTCCTCTGTCCTGATACCCTAGTGAAACCTCAGGAAAAAGACTTTTGGTTTCTTTTTTTTTTTTTTTTTTTTTTGCTTTTTGGGTCACACCTGGTGATGCTCAGGGGTTACTCCTGGCTTTGCACTCAGGAATCACTCCTGGCTGTGCTCAGGGAACCATATGGGATGCTAGGAATCGAACCCAGGTCGGCCGCATGCAAGGCAAACATCCTACCCGCTGTGCTATTGCTCCAGCCCTAAGACTTTTGGTTTCTAATCAGCACTTTTCGCTTGGGCTTTTCCTGAAGGTCCAGTTGGATGATCTTGGTGATGCGAGCTAGAAGGCAGCGCACCTGCTGGGTACCATTGACTCTGAGGATAGAACTTTGCTATGTTTCCCGTTCATGTTATCAGAAACCCTGAGAAAATGTTTCTTTTCCAGGGACCGAGGGGCCAGGTGTCAGCATCTCTGAAGAGAGGCAGAGTCTTGCCGAAAACTCAGCGACAACCATCGTTTACAACCCACACGCCACCCTTTCCATTGAACAGCAGAGGCAGAAGCTACCAGTGTTCAGGGTACGTTGAACATACACGTCCATTCTGTGGATCTGCGGTTGGTGTGTGCACTGGCCTTATACTGGACTTCAACGGGAAGGATTTCCTTTTAATGAGTCTTCACAGGATAGTGAACTCAGTTACCCTAATGTGAAGGAACTAACTTTTCAAAATATGCACATGTAGTTATCTGTTATAAATCATAACAATCTTTGAAAGTTTTTTCAGTTAGAGTGTATATACTAAAATACTGGAAGGAATAGAATTATATCATTCCCTTCCCCTTGTTTTCACTTATGGATAATTTCAAACATACAGAAAAGTAGAGAAAATAGCACAATGAAAGTTTATGCATCTGCCTTCAACAAAATGTATTCATAAGGTCATTTTTTCTTTTGTTTTGATGGAATATTTCTTTAAACAAAACTAATGGGGAATGCTGAGTTATTTCTGTTGAATAGGTGAACCATTGAATTATGGGATTGGGGTGTGGCTATTATATGTGGGCCTTGATTTTATTAGTGTTATAAGATGATTGCCTTTCATCTCCTAAGAGACCAAAGCATAAGCTAGAATTCAGAATCCTTTTGTTTGGTGTTAGTTCTAGTTTTCCAGTCCAGATGGTTATTTACTTCCGGTTGGCAAGCCACATTGTTATGAAGAGGTCAGCTCGGGGCTGGAGAGATTGACCAGCAAGCCGATGGGGTACTTACCTTGCATACAGTTGACCAAAGTTTAATCCCCAGTGCTCATTATGGCCCCCTGAATCCCATGAGGAGTGATCCCTGAGCACAGAGCAAGGAGTCAGCCCTGAGCACTACTGGGTGTGACCCAAAGCTTAAAAATAAGTCAGCTCAGGGGGCTGGAGAGATGGACAGGGGATGAAGCCCTTGCCTTGCATCCTGCTGACCTGGCTTTGAATCTCTGGCACTAGGTGTAGTTCCCCTAAGCAACCCTTAGGAGTGATCCCTGAACACTGAGCCCAGAATGGCCCCTGAGTACTGCTGGGTATGATCCCGAAATCAAAGGAATTAAAAAAAAAGTAAAGAAGGATTGGAAGGTAGCTCGGAGGGCTAGTGTCTGTGCTCTGCTTGTCAGAGGATCAGCTTTTGTCTCCAGTACTGTGTGGTCCCCCGAGCCCCGCTGGGTGCAACCCCCAAGCATGGAATCAGGAGTAGTGTGTGTACTGTGGGGTGTGGTCTCCAAACCAGGAGAAAATAAAGAATCAGAAACAAAGTGATTTAGATGTACTTACAGGATGACTTTCTCTCTCTCTTTCCACTTTTTAATTTTTAATCTCTGTTGATTGAGGTACTGTGGTTTACACCACTGTTAGTGATGGTTTTCTGTGTACATAATTCCAACACCACATTGTCCACCAGTATACCCACTTCCCTCCCCTGAGGTCTCCCTTTCAGATACCCCCCTGCCCCGGCCTCAGTTCTGTGGATCAGTTCTGTTGTGTTGCCTTTGGCTCTTAGTTGCTGCCTTGCTGTGTATCGTTAAGGCTCACATCCGAGAGAGATCATTGTGTATCGCTCCCTTTCCTTCTGACTGACTTCACTCGGCGGTGATATCCTTTAGATACTTGTCGGTTGCAGTATTGTCTGCGGTGTGCCTACTGACAATGTATGGTTGTATTTTTCAGCTTAGGAATCACATATTGTACTTGATAGAAAACTACCAGACGGTGGTGATTGTTGGAGAAACAGGATGCGGGAAGAGCACGCAGATTCCACAGGTGAGCACACACTTACATGGGTCTTTGCACTTCAGAGTCGTGGGAGGACTTTGTAGCTTGAGACTCTCCTTCCTGCCATTTGCACTTCATTTTTCCATGATCATTATTATTCTTATTGTCTCCTGGGGTTTTGGGTCACACTCGGCAGTGCTCAGGAGTCACTCTTGGAGGTTCTGAGGGGACCATCTGTGGTGCCTGGGAAGGAACCAGGGGGGACCATGTGGAAAGCAAGTATCTCATCTTGCAGTACTATCTTTCTGGGCCTGTCGTTTGCTCTTTTTTTTTTTTTTTTTTTTTGCTTTTTGGGTCACATCTGGTAATGCACAGGGGTTACTCGTGGCTCATACACTCAAGAATTACTCCTAGTGGTGCTCGGGGGACCATATGGGATCCTGAGAATCAAACCTGGGTCAGCCGTGTGCAATACTCTACCCTCTGCACTATCGACCCAGCCCCTGTCATTTGCATTTTAAAGTCTCTCAGAGACTAAATAGTCAGTCCAGCTGGATACTTTTATTAAACATTGGAACTATGGCTTCTTTGACTAGTACTTAAATATCATTCCTCTAATTTATGATAATTCTAAAATAACAGAATAGCAATACTTTGAAAGGAGCAGTAACAACAAAGTCTCCAATGGAGACGTTACTGGGCCCGCTCGAGCAAATCGATGATCAACGGGAGGGCCTTTGAAAGGAGCAGTGGAGACTCATATAAAAGTGTGTGATGCGTAGCCCTCCCCTCCCCCCCAGTAGTTACGGTAGAAGAGGTGGGGTGAAAGGAATGCTGCTGTGAATGGAAACAATTATTACAGAATTACACAGTGTAAGGTAAGAAACTCTCTGACCAAGCAGGATCCGACTTGGGGTGGGATAGAATTGGAAGGGAGGATTAAAAGGAAGAAAAAGAGGGAGGATCTCATGAAAGAAATGACATCGGCAACAGATCTTAAACAGCTGTTGAGAGCTGGTCGGGAAGGTGTTCTAATCCGGTGAATATTGTGGTTAGAGTTACAGGGGTGGAGATGTTCTTGAGGCAGCCAGACCACAGGAGTGGAAAGGGAGGGTGAGGTCAAGTGTGTTTTTAGAGTCTTAACTTGAAGGATGAAGGATGATGAGTAGGTGAAAAGTCTTGGCCTTCTTTCTGTTTTGGATCAAACCTGGGACTTCATATGTACTAAGCACGTGATTTACCCAAGAACTACATTCCATTTATTTCATATTTTACTGAAAACTAGTTTTATTTTAAAAATAGCACTCATCTGATTTCATTGGTGTGGACTTTAGTACCATACTATATGCAGTTACATTGTAACAGACACCTTTTGATTTGCATTCTGTACTTCATTCGTGTTTATTTAGTGGACTTTGCTAAAGACCTTATACATACCATTAATCTCTTCACAGTACACATATAATGATGGTCTAGTAATGTCAAAAACAACCTACTCTAAAGACTAATCAGTAAATTAAAACAAAGACTGCACATTCCCCCATCCCCCATCTCGCCCCCACAAACTAGCAGTTGTAAGTTGTATTTATATTAAAAAAACCAATGTTTAAAAAATAGTAAAATAGTGCTCGCTTTGGCAGCACATATACTGAAATTGGAACGATACCGAGAAGATTAGCATGGCCCCGGCACAAGGATGACACGCAAATTCGTGAAGCATTCCATATTTTAAAAAAAGAAAAGTAAAATAGTTTTGGTTCTCCGGCTACGCTTGCTTGCACCCCCCGCCCCCCCCCCCCCCCCCCCCGCCTTCGCCCTAGCACACACCACACCACCATTTCCAGGTACCGTTTTCTTTTCTTTTCTTTTTTTTTTTGTTTTATTTTTGGGTCACACCCAGCGATGCACAGGGGTTACTCCTAGCTTTGCACTCAGGAATTACTCCTGGCGGTGCTCGGGGAACCATATGGGATGCCGGGAATCAAACCCGGGTCGGCCGCATGTAAGGCAAATGCCCTACCTGCTGTACTATCACTCCAGCCCCTACCTTTTTCTTTTTTAATGTGGATTTTGGTTCTTTTGGTTTGTTTTTACTTGAGGGCCACACCTGACTGTGTTCAGAGCTTACTTGGGGCTGGGAGAACTACATGCGGTGCTGGGGACTGATGTGGGTTGGCTGCATGCAAGACAAGTACTCGGCAAGGACAGTACCCACTGCGCTATCTCTCCGGCCCCTCTAATGGAGATGCATGTCCAAGTATAGAACACATGCAGGACACTATCTCTATTACCATTGTGTAGCTTGATAAACTTGCACATGTGAGTCCACCTGTGTTGCCTGCACCCAGGTTAAGAAATAGAACCCCCAAAATTCTTTTGTTTCCTTTTGGTCTCTTAATGTGCGTATGTCCTTGTCCCCACCAATATACAGGTGGGTAGCTCTTATTCTGGCTTCTAGCATCAGACTTTAGTTTTGCCTGTTTCTGAAGTTCTGTAAAGAAATACTACAGCTGACACTTCTTTTTTTTTATTGTTTTTGCTCCACACCTGGTGGTGCTTGGAGTCTCCTTTTTTTTTTTTCTTTTGTTTTTTTGGGTCACACAGGGGTTACTCCTGGCTCTGCACTTAGGAATTACTCCTGGCGGTGCCCAGGGGACCATAAGGGATGCTGGGGATCGAACCTGGGTCAGCCATGTGCAAGGCAAATGCCCCACCCGCTGTGCTATTGCTTTAGCCCCAGGAGTCTCCTTTTGTCCTGGTGCTTGGGGTTACTCACTGTGGTGCTCTGGGGACCAGTGTGGTGCCAGGGACTGAACTGGGGTTCCCACATGCATAAGCCCTCTCCACAGCCAGGTGTGGCTTCATTTGTTCACTGTTAATGTGAGATTCTTCCCTGTATTCAGTGTAGTTGTAGTTTGTCCATCACTGTTGTGGTATGACAGGTGTGAGCAAATCATTGCCCAGGTGCCAAATCCATTCCCCAGTCTAGAGTTTATAAATAAAACTTTATTGGAATAGCCACATTCATTTTTTGGTATTACCCACAGCTGCTTTCATGTCTGGGTGGCCCTGTTGGCTGTTGTCCAGCTGACTAGCAGACCTTTGCTCTGCAGTGTTTCATGTATGAGCCCTCCATGCCTGCCTCTGCTGCCCACCGTCGCCTGGAGTTGGAGTTGCATCTTTTTTTTTTTCTATCACGAATCGTGCACTTTGAGCATTTTGGTAGTTCAGTGACCATCTGTGCACATTTATGTAAGAGTCGCTTTCTTTGGTTTTGTGTTCAACTGTAGTAAGTGACTTAATCACTTAATCACTTAACTTCCCGTTAGTCGTCGATTTGCTCGAGCGGGCGCCAGTAACGTCTCCATTTGTCCCTGTCGCGTGCTAGTGTAGCCCAATGGCATCTCTTCGCTCCGGGAACATGGAGGGCCTCAAACCGATCGTTCATGACCTTGACAAAGAAGTCTGACCATCTGGTAGGTGGGCGGCCACGCGGTCTCTTGACATCCCGTGGAATCCAATCAGTAACAGCTCTAGTCCAACGGTCGTCTTTAAATCTCATTACGTGACCAGCCCATCTGATTTTCGACACCTTGGCAAATGAGACAACGTCCCTGATCCTTGATCGTCGACGGATGTCAGAACTCCGGATTCGTTCTCTCATTTGAGTGAAACGTGATATTCCAAGCATAGCTCTTTCTATTCTTCTTTGGGAGACCTGAATGGCGTTCTCATCTTGTTTGCGTAGGGCCCAGGTCTCTGAGGCATATGTTAATGCAGGAAGAACAGTGGAATCAAAGAGATGTGCCCGGAGCCGGAGCTTCTTCGTCCTCTTAGCTATTTCTTCGACGTTCTTGAAGGCGTTCCAAGCCGCTCTCTTCCTCCTGCGCAGCTCGGGTGCCAGGTCATTTGTCATGTTGACCTCTCGACCTAGGTACACATAGCTGTTGCATTCGGAGATGGTCGTTCCATTGAGAGCGAATGGGGCATCAGGAACAAGGCTGTTTCTCATAAACATTGTCTTCGTAAGATTCAGCTGTAGTCCTACCTTTCCACACTCACGGTCAAAGTCGGCCAGCATTTGTGCCGCTTGGCTGATGTTAGTAAGTGACGTCTGACATAATTTCAGAGTCTTGGTGGCCTTGTCGACTTTGTGACATGGAAACCGTATATTAAGGGCTGGGCTTGCGGTAGCTTTTAAAGTTTTGCTACGGAATGAATTAGGGACTGGAGAAGGCAGGGCGCAGAAGGCTGTTACTGTGCTCTTTGGGGGAAGGCTGTGGGAGGAATCAGAACAGTTTTAGAGTTGGGGCACGTAGAAAATAGAAACTGGAGGGACATATGTGATCAAAAGGGGGAAGGACACTGGGCAAGCCAGCCTCACCGCCTTGGAGAACAGTGGCGCAAATACATGTGGCAGAAAAGTGAAAAGGGACTTCTTTTTGAAATGGATTGTTTTATTTTACAAGGACCTGTGTCATTTTTGGGGAGGGGCCATACCCGCTGGTATGGCATAAGCCAGGGCTTATTCCTGGCTCTGTGCTTAGGAATCATTCTTGGCAGGATTGGGGGCGGGGGGTGGCAATAAGGGATGCTGGAGATTGAACTTGGAAGTTGACTTGGTGTTCTGAAGCTTGGCACTGGTCAGGCAGAGAGGCTGTGGATAGGTGGACTCTCTGACATCTGATATTTCCTGGGGTGAGAGTCGAGAGAGAAAAGAGTCAAGAGCCACCATTATCAATGAAATAATGAATAAATGAAAGATAAACACCTATGAGCATCAACTCTTTGGAGGGGACACATCTGGCAGTGCTCAGGGGACCATGCGGTGCCAGGGATAGTATCTGGGGTGAGGCCTGGAGCCCTTGGAGCCAGCGCTCTGGCCCAGCGGCAGCACCGAGACAGGAGACAGCGGTAGCTGGTGGTGGGGGACTTGGAAGGGTGGGCTCGTGGGCGGTCAGAAGGTCAGCAGCAGCAGCAGCAGCAGCAGCAGGGGAGTGAAGCTTCCCGGCATGGGCGTAGGTGGCAGTTTCAGCTGAAGGAGCGGC